GCCCGCAGGTGCTGGCGGCCCTGCAGGCGCAGCTGTCCGCCGCGGCCGGCGAGCCCGGCGGCGGCGACGCGGCGGCGGGCATGCCGTTCCCCGTGTGGCCGCCCGGCCTCGCGGCGGCGGGCGGGGCGGACGCAGCGCACCTGGCGGCGCTCGGGCTGCAGCCGCTGGCCGGCGGCGCGGACGCGCAGCTGCTGGCTGCGGCGGCCAGCGCGGCACCGGATGCCGCTGCACAGCAGCAGCTGGATCAGCATCAGCACCACCAGCAGCAGGAGCAGCAGCAACAACAGGAGGAGGAGCAGCAGCAGCAGCGGGAAAAGGAGCCCGAAGGGCAGCAGGGGCAGGCAGGGGTCGGCGGCGAGGGGCATGGAGGGGCGGCCGCCAGCGGGGCCGGCGGGCGGGCGGGCGATGACGCGAGGGGCAGCGGCGGTTCAGGCAGCAGTGACGCGTCATAGGACCAGAGAGAAGGCTAGCATCACCTTTAGCAGGGTAGGCGAACGCATGAACCCAATCAAGTCGACCATGTTAGGAACGCGTAGCTTGTAATGCGTCATGAGCGGAGACAGCGTGCAGCACCCCCTTTTGCACCCCAAACAGCCGCCGATGGTATGTTCAAGCAGCGCGCGTGAGACAGGCGTTACCCCAAAAGAACCCGTAGCCTGGGGTGGGGATAGACTGTTGGGTCCTGCACATCGACAGACCCAGGCCAGAGCTTCAAGTGCAGACGGATGCAAGCCCGATTACAGCAGCCTGTCCCCTGCGCACATCTATGTATGGGTGGTGGCCCCGCTTCGATGTCGTGATTGCTGCAATGTGTCCATTTGATGGATTCTCGGAGTGACCGGTCGCCCCTGCTGTGTCGCCGCGCCGGCTCCCAGCTGACCGTGCAGGCTGACCAGGGAGCAGCCGAGCAAAAAAGGGCGGCCCACATGCCGGGTCTTGGGGATGTCCCACGCTGTGACTCACCAGCAATGCATAATTTGGTCATTGCGGACGCTTCCGAGTCCCTCACAAGTGCGGGCCGAGCGCCATAGGCCGCGTCGCACGTGGCACCCGCGGCACGCATGCGTACGGCTTGTCCCCGCCTGCCCCCTCCGCCAAACTCTTGACCAGTGTTCACGGTGGGCCACCTCGGATGAAGTGTGTGTGCAGAACCAGCCGCCCGCCGCGCCTGCTGTATGAGCCGGCTGCGCACGCGACGCAGCACGGCGCACGCAATCTCTGCCGATCGCTCGGCGCAGACGTATTGGAGGTGCTCCGCCGCCACCAAGTAGTGATGCGATACAATCGCACTGCACAAATGACAAGTCTCACCGCTGGGTGGCGCCGGGCGCCCCGCACCCGCCTGGACAACGCTCCGGGCACCCCACGACGTAGCCGGCATGACAACCTCAAGCTCTTGCCGCAAGCCCTCGTTGGCCGCCAGAGCTATCACCACCGCCACGTGGTTTGCAAAAGTTCCAGGCCCTGGATGTGGGCGCCAGCGTCGGCAGCAAGGCGCGCACGCAGTGACCAGGGAGGACGAGACACTGTCTGGCCCACCGCTGGCAGCGGTGGGAGCCAGATCCCCGTGATGCTACACGCGCAGCCACGCGTGTTTCGCCTCTGTTTGCTCAAAGTCATAGGCGGAAGGTGTGTGAAAGGGGACACAGCAAGGGACAGCCTGCGGGCTCCACCTGAGGGCCCCACAACACCCGCAGGGGGCCCCCCATCAATGTCCCCGCATCCCTCACACCGGTAGGGCAGAGGGGGAAGGGCGGCTGCCCTGACCCTCGCGCCCATAACTTACTCACACTGGACGCCCAGCGCCTACTCAACTCTACAAATTGCATCGTTTAGAAGCATGAGACCTTAGCATCACCTCTGACTGAATGGCTGCTGCGTACAGTAGCAGGAATGGCCCGCATTCTCAGCGGTGGCCGTCTCACAATCTCGCCCTCTGTGCTTGTCCCGATGCTGCCAGCGTGCACTGCCATGACGAAGTCGCTGGGGGGAGGGGATGCCCTCCCTGTGTAGATTATCAAGCTCTTGTGCACAAGCCGGCAAAAACCGTTGGTACATGGCCAAAACGATGCGGGTATGTGCATACAAGCGTAAAAACGGTTGCGGAAACGGCGAAAACGTTGCGTCCGCGGGGACTCGAACCCCGGCCTGGTCCGTGGCAGGGACCTATCATACCCCTAGACTACGGACGCTTCCGGGTGGAAAGCTTCGAACGATGGATTCCGCAAAAATTTCGGCTATTATAAACCCATGTCGGTTTCAGGGCTTAGTGTTTTACTCGCGGAGCCCATGCCTTGACGATTGTAACAAAGCGAAGCGAAGCCGCCCACCCGACACACACACACACAGACACACACACACACCGTGACGTCCTCCCAGATCACCTCTGACCACCCGCG